ATATGGCATATATACTCAATGGAATACTACTCAGCCATAGAAAAGAATGAACTTCTGTCATTCGCTGCAGCCTGGATGAGCCTGGAGAAAATTACATTCAATGAAATAAGCCAGGCACAGAAAAAGAAATAATGCACATGCTCACTTATAACTGGGAGCTAATAAAAATAAATAAATAAATATAAAAGAAAAAGAAAAAGAAGAAAACAATTACAATAATGTGTTCATCTTTCAGGAGAGAACAGGATTGTGGTTACTAGAGGTTTGAAAGGGGGAGGGGAGGAGCGTTAGCATGAAAGTGGTTAATAGACAAAGAATAATTATGTTTTATAATATAAACGTGTTAATTATGTTGATTTTGTCATCACATATTGTACACAGGTATTGATATTCCACTCTAACTCACAAATATGTACAATCATGTTTCAATTTTTAAAAATGTATGTAAAAATGTAGGGGTGGAGATTGTGTTGAAGTATAGGTGAAACCAAAGTGCCATGTCAGGTGCTAAAAAAGAGAAAGAATGAAAGGGTGAAAGAAAAATGAAAGAAAAAGAAAGAAAGGTAAAAAGGAAAAGAAAGAAAAAGGGAAGGTAAAGAAGATAAAGAAGAATGTCTAGATGTCCCAGTTTTCAACACTGATTGGCTTCTAACTTTGTCAAAACAAAATCAAGCCTTGTTTAAGGTCCTTTGTTACCCCGAGACATATTATAACATACAAACACAATAATTTGTTGTGAATAAAACTGAACAAATATCCCTGTCCACTTGAAGCTGGCATTCTAGAAAACAGGAGATGAGGGGTGGAAGTAAAATACACAGTGTGACAGATGATGGTTGCGGGAGAAATATTCTTTAGTTCTTTTATTCATCTTTGGGCTAATAAGAGGTAGTTTTGTGTTCTGAGTTCTGATCTTCTTTTCCATAGTTTTTTTTCCTTTGCAACATTTGTATAAAATGTATATGAACAAAATAATAAGGAGTAACATGATTATTGTAAGAATGATCCATCCAGGAGATATATATAGAGAGTCAGTGGGTAATAAACATTCTCACCATCCCCAAACCCCTCTGCTGGCATTGCTGTATTCCTTTATTAGGTTCAGGATATGTTTCCATTTGAACTTTATGGTAGACCTCATTGGAGGTTTGTAAAACTCATTCTAAATCAGCATCTAAAAGTCATAATTCCTCTTGTGTCCATTTAGTTTCCNAATGAATGTAGAACATCTTTTGTCAGAAGTCACACCTAAGCAGACATCAGAGAACTCACATGAGGGAGAAATACTGCATGGCAAAGACTAGCTATTTTTTTCCAGAAAAAAAAAAACAAGCCACACACACACACAAAACACTGTCTTTTGTACAGACAGCTTTTTTCAGCAAATGGTGCTGGGAAAATTATATGCACTTGCAGAAAGATAAAGTTGAACCTAGGAGCAGCCACTATGGAAAATGGTATGGAGGTTCTTGAAACAGCTACAGATAGAACTGCCTGATGATCTAGCGGGGTATATACCCCCCAAAATGGAAATCATGATGTTGAAAAGATACCTGCACTCCCATGTTTATCACAGCTCTATTTACAATAGCCAAGAGT